ACATTTATCCATTTTAAACACACTAACCTCACTCCTTTGTAACAACTAAGGCAAAAATGTAATTAATTCAGAAAATCTTTTCAGGACCCCACCTTGATTTTTCGGGACCCCACTTTGGGTCCCGACCCCAACTTTGGGAAACACTGAGTTAGACTGTGCTAAAAAAAAAAAAGTCAATAAAACAAGAAGACAAAGAATAGACACTGGCTGAAACTAGATCTTATGGCATGGCATGGAAAAGTTTGGGAACCCCTGGAATATTATGCAATGGCCAAGTCAGTCACCTGATCTGAATCGGACTGAGCATGAATTTCACTTGCTGAAAACAAAACTGAAGAAAAAACATACAAGAACTGACAGGAACTGAAGAGAGCTGCAGTAGAGGTGTGACAGGGCCGAAACCAACCGTCTGCTGATGTCAGCCAGACTAAAGGCTGGAAACGACTGCAAGGGATTTTTAATTGTTAATTTGTCCCGTTACTTTTGGTCCCTTTAAAAACTAATTATTGTAATTCATGATTTGGATGTAAATTCCTTCAAATGAAATGTGAAAGTCTGCAGCTAAAGCACATCTTGTTTCATTTCAAATCCGTTGTGGTGTTTACCGCCAAAAAGATGAGAACTGAGTCGATGTCCCAGTATTTATGGACCTGACTGTATTTTTATGAGAATATTTGATTACCAGATATTTCCTACATGAGGTTTTGTTACCTCTGAACATCTCACTAGTTTTCACCTGTTCTCCCTCTTTGTGCTAATTCAAGTTGCCTAATCAACTTCCTGTGAAAGAGCATGTAATCATCTGAGAAAATGCTAAAGTTTTTCTTCAACCTTAATTTTACACTCAAAAGGGACTTTCTGCCAAAGCAACAGAGGTTTATGGGATTACAGTGTCGACACCTTCTATCTTTAAGTCACCTGTTGCTGAGCAGACACCTGTAGCAGTTTCAAAGAGATAACTGTGGAATATCGTAGGTTTTTTTTCCAGTGTTGCATCCAGGTTTTGGTTTCCTGGCACTTTCACTGCCGCTTAATTTCGTGGCTCTTTTTAAGCATACTTTCATCTGCTGGAGGAGCTGAATTCATCATTCGTCAGGAGAATGTGTTAATCTGCTCCCAGCCATCCGACCTGAAGCGTCGACATGAGTAAAGCGGGTGATGAAGCGCTTGGAAAGAACCTGGTTACACCTTAAATTTCACCACCCACACGCCTATATATTCTGAGTGATGCACCCTAAAAACAAGTTGCGAGGTAGACACACCGGATTATTTATATTTGAAGTTTCAGAGTTGACAAAAGTGGCGGTAAAAGGACTTTAGTGGGTCTGCTCTCATTTTGTAAACGACTGAATGAGTCATTGCTCTTTAACTTGTGGTGAAACCATAAAAACATTAAAAAAAACACCAAAATGAGGAAGGTAAAACACAAAATGAAAAAAAAAAAAAACCACTTCCCCCCCCACCATTATTTACATCCCTTCTGTGATTTTCCCTTTCCTCCTCTCCAGATTTCACCTCTTGACAGTCTTGGCCTAGATATTTCCTCCGTCTTTTCTCAGATGTTCTCGCAGGTCTCATCCGCTGCCAGCTGTGGAGGAGAGGACGTGGAGATCAACGTGCATGAGAAGCAAAAAAGAAAAAAAAAGATGACAGGAAAACCAATCGATCCAAACCCTTCATCCTAATCCTAATCTTGTTGACGTCCTCAGATGAAGCAGAGTGCCCTGGAGCCACTTTGAGGAGTATTTAAAAAAAAAWAAATTCTCATTTTCAGCCCAACTAGTTTAGTTTATAACTAAAACACACATATAGGTTTTACGCTCTTAAGATTAGTGTTTTCTTTTTGCACCTGCTTCATGGATTTAAATGCTTCAGGTGTGTTTTATGACTCAAATTCCATCTGAGGCATTTTTTAGAAAGATCTCCCACYTCTAAAATACTCTACTGCTCCCCTGTGGCTCTGGAGAACAGTGCATCCACAAGTTCAATCATTTCAAAAAAATAAAGAACAAAAATCTTTCATATTTACACTCCTGGTTTTTATTTCAAGCAAATATACAATCGTTTGCTGTTTGTAGCTAAAAGAAAAAAAATTGGCAAAAATCCATAAGTAAATCTTGATATGATTCCATTAAAAACTGTATATAAAAAGACCCCAAAACTGTACAATAATAAGCCTAAATATATATCCATATATGCTGCTCTTATACATGTAGATACTGCYTCTGAGTGTAGATAGTGCTGATTACAGGACGTGTACTTTACAGTAACACGTTGCTAACAGAAACAACAAAACCCCTAAAATCCACGATTCATGGCTTTGAGTGTTTCTACAGCAACGTGTCATTCCTCACACAACTGCTCAGTGCAGGTTAAACAGCAGCAAACACCACAGAAACAGACTTCTTTACAACYRGTGAAGCTCTCCGTACGTCAAGTAACTCAGACGTGTCCAGTGTTGTTTCATCACAGAAAAATACTGTCCCAAAAAGTAAAAATACAAAACAATTGAAGTGCATACAAACAGAACTAAACTCTTTTCCAAAGGATTTAAGTGCCAACACTCTCRCAGGTTCAACACATAAAAACCTGGCTGTTAATTTTCTATTTAAACTGTCTAATTGTTTCTGACAATAAACTCTTTCGGTTGAAGCTTTGCTCCTAAACTGAAAGCAAAAAGTTTAGTTGCTGTCTGACGTAATATACAGTAAATGTGTTCCTGTTTGTCCAGTTAAAAAACTGCAGCTAAAGCTCCGGTAGGTTTTTCCTATTTTAACAACTTTAAAGACAATTAAACTTGTCACATTTACACGTGATTTTATTAATCCAAGTTTGGAACTTTGGATTAAAGCAAACGTTTTGAAGAATCATCTGCTCACTAAAGGGTAAAAGGCCGTCTCACTGTAACATTTTAGACAAATGCTGACTTYGGAAAATTATGTTTTGTGTAAATTAGGGGTGTCCCAATACCAGTTTTTCTCAAACCATGTACGAGTACTTCAGTTTGGGTAACTTAAATGTTACACAGTGACTTTGAAAACACATTTATTTTATTTAGAACAAGGTGGCTCTCCTTCCTTATAGACCTACAGCCCCTCTAACTGGATCAAATGAAATWCACAGCATGTATACATACTGTTGTAAAATATTTAAATAAATAAAAATAGCGTAATATTCGCTTTCTTAAACATGGAACTGGAACTTTTCACTTGAAGTGGAAGTTAACCATGAAAATACTGATACCAAAATCCCAGTATCGATGCTGGTATTGGAATCCTTTTGAGTACTGGGGCATTTTAGTACTTGTAAAAATGCTGGTATTGGGACACCACTAGCAGAATTACTTGTATTAATATGTGAACATTCAAAAGTGTCTTCAAGTAGATTTTTTATCCTACTTTCAGTGTTGGACTAAATTTTTAGAAGTTGTCTAAAACATTATAGACCTTTAGCTCAGATCTTCTGAAGACAAGTCGTGCAAATGTTATGAACAATAAATATCTTACCTGCTGTAGATAGCTCTTTGAATAAACTCATTTGAAGAAATAACAGCAGAATTTGGACCAAACAATTAGTGCAATTTTATGGAAGCTCTAATCTCAAACATCATCATGCTGGGTCATGTAAACGCTGAGTTAGAAAACATGATGTGGTTATTCTAGCAGAAATATTATGATAATCATGCTATAGATGCCAGAGCTAGCTGCTGCCGCCACCACTTTTTGTCAGACACATGTGATGTGAAAGTCGAGTTTTATACATCCTTGCAATCCACTTTGGTCAGATCAGCCATCAGCTCATCAATCCAGTCAGAATGAAACAAATGTGTCCAAATTACACAAGACCACTTCAAAGATCTGAACTATCCTCACGGTTTTGTTTTTTGAAGTAAAAGAAAAATCCCACTTTGTAGCAGCAAAGACTTCTCTTAAACAACTAGAAACCACATTTCAAAAACAAACATCTGTAACAAAAATATAAAATCAAAAAACAAACTGAAGTTTGTCATGTTTTTGTGTAGATTTGATCGACTGCGCATCATTTTCTACTTGTTTAAAGCCCATGACAACAATCCACAGCAACACGTTTTTTTTACATTCATTATTTTGTTTCCARTCTCCTCCCAGTGCATCCATCAACTGCAGAGCCTTCGTCCCGTTTAAACGCTCCCTAAAAGTAGTAAATTCACCGTAAAGCGATTTAACATGTAACAGACTAACACAAGGCACCTAATGTCAAGCAGCTAAAAGTATCTCTACTGTAGCAGCAACAAGGCTTTGGTTCATAGAGGTACTATTAAAGAGTTTCTGCTCTGTCTCATGGTGGATGGAGAGATGGGGTTACGTAAAAGATGCAGGAAGGAAAGATGACTAGATGGTGATGGTGATGATGATGACGATGATGATGATGATGGAGACCTTCCACATCACATCAGCAGAAGGAGCGTGAACAAAAGAGAGACTGCTATAAAAACAGAAAAAGAAAAAAAAGATGCAAAATTGACATCTCAAATCATCTCTAACAGTCAGTCTAACCTGTGACCTCTGCTGGCTTTAGTTAGCAAACAGCAGCTGTGAGAAAAGATTTAAACGTCATAAAAATATTWTTATTCACTTATTTCTTAATAATCGAGACCTCTGTTCTTTTACTTGCGTCAGTATACATATTTTATATATTTATATATTTTTACTACATGAGGTAAACCTTAAATTTGAATCCTACTACTACTTCTACTGCATACTACTACTAATAATCATTATAATCAATAATAATAATAATAATAATAATAATAATAATAATAATGTACATTTTGAAATAAATCAGTTTAAAACAGTTTTTTACCCCATGTTTGCTCATATAACTATTTTACAATATTTTTATAGTAATAGCAGTTTTATTTGTTTATTTATTTATTTATTTATTTATTTATTTAATTGTAGTTTGGTGGTCAGTGTCACGGTCTCCTAATCCTGAGGCTGTAGGTTCAGTTGTAAAATCTTTCATGCATGTTTTGCTCGCTGTGCTGACCTTGGGAGAAGGGAGCAGCTGAAGGAAAACCAACATTTTTACAATTTGGGATTATTTGAGCAAATTTGTATTCATGCATTTTAAGACTTTAACAARAAAGAGAAAGCTTGTGCTTTTTGTTTACCTAAGAAAAATAAAGAAAGGTGAGAAAGCTACAACCCAGTTRGTGATAAAGCAAGAATTTGTATCTATTTTAGATTTTTTTTAATGGCAGCTACACATTTCAAAGAAGTTGGTACAGATTAAAAAGGCTGTGGTATAAAATATAGAAAAAGGTTGAAGGAGTATTTTTCAACAAATCAAGTTAATTGGCGACAAGTCAGTCAGAGCATTTTAGACAGGCTGGGTCTGTTAGAAGTAAAGATGGGCAGAGGCTCACCAGATTGTGAAAAACTGTTTACAATTAGTGAAACAATAATGTTTCTTAATGGAAAAACTGAAAGACTTGGAATTTCCCATCATCTACAATTCATAAAATCATCAAAAGACCCGAAGAAACTGAGCACAAAGGCTAAGTGAACATAGTTTTCTTTGGGCTCAAAATTAACATTTTTGTTGAKAACCACAGACGCCATGTCCTTTGTACTAAAGAGAGGGGACCATCCAGCTTGTTATTAGTGCACAGTTAAAAAGCCTGCCTCTCTGATGGTATAGGGGTGCATTAGTGTCTCAAGCAGGGGTGGTTTACACACCTGGAAAGGCTCCATCACAGCAGAAAATGCAGGTTTTCAAACTGTTTGTGCTCCCATCAAGACATARTTGGTGCTTTACAATAAAATAACAAATCTGTCTTATCTTTGAGATGTGTTGCTACCATAAAATTCAAAATTACCCAAATTTTGTTCAAAATTGAATAAATATTTTAGTTTAAACATTTGATATGGTTACAGTTTTTCCATTGTGAATAAAATATGTTTTTTTGAGATTTGCAGATCACTGAATTATGTTTTAATTTACATTTTGCACAATACATGTTTTTTTTGGAATTTAAGCTGTTTATTATTATTATCATTTTTAGTGTTCATCATTTGCATCAACATTTGATGACAAAAAAGGAGCAGYCAGGTGTTCAGTCGCCATGTCTGACAATTCTGTTTATAAGTTTGTTTTATAATACTTTTCACTTTCAGCTCAAATACAATGTAAAAAAATAAATAAAGACTCTTCTGTGTTAATAATACAAGTCAGAAACACCCTTATACTATATATATAAAAATAGGGCACTTTTGTTGTTAACATTTCTTTAAGACAGACTTTAAATTTTTTTAAGTGCTCTGATTAAATTAAAACTTGAGCATTATAAGTTGCATTTTTCTACAACTTTGAGTAACTAATACAATCTACAATCAATCATCTTTCAGGCAAAAAAAGGTAATAAATAAGCCCACAGTTTGCTTCAGGTGTTGCCTGAGGGATTATTAWTTATCCTTGGTTTTGGTAAATAATAGCAGACATTTATGTTTTCTTTAAGGCAACATTAGAGAAGAAGTCGTCACACAGCTATAGTGCAAACTAAATGAGCCGTCTATGCATTCAGCTAAAGCTTAAAGACAAAACAAAATACTCTAGCTTTAAAGCACTATTTCTCTGAACAAACGTCTCTACCTACAGCGTTAGGAAAGCCTGAAAGTGCTGGATGTAGAAGTGTTGTTTCTTTTTCTTCAACATAGCATAAAAAGAAAAAAAAAGAGCCAAGTTRTGTAACATTTCAGGCTTTCCTTCAGCACTACACGCCTCCTTACAGTGATGTGAGGGCCGAGTCCTACGGAGCGTTTCGGGACAACATGTTTGCACACAGGCAACACCGGTTGGTCCTACAAGAGGCAAAGCAGGCAGACAGAAATGAGACATGAGAGACGTGAGCAGAAAACAAGAACGTGTTTGTTCACCATCATCATCGTCATTCCAGCCTCAACACCATCACGTAAACGTAAAAAAATGATAAAAGTTATAGAACACTTTAGCAGCCGCTGAAGGCAAATGATTGTAAAATGGACCAGAGCGTGTATTTTAGCACTAAAATCAGTTTTTCAGACTGTGGTGATGTAAATACACTGAGCCCTTTAGGAGTCGTGGAGATGCYGGATGGTTGGAAATCCGTCCCATGATGCATTGTGCCACACTTCACTGGTAGCAGCCTGAAAAAGATCCCCTGCTGTCCAAAAACTCAGGCTGTTGTTCAACTCCAGCTCAGTAAGGGGAGGTTCCCAGGCACCTCCACAACATGCCTGAACTTCTTTTTGTTCAGTTTCGCTCCAATTGAGAATATCTCCAAAAATAAATGATGGGAAAACAGCAAAATAATTAATTTAAAAAAAAAATCAAACGGAGGTTTCTGATTCCGCCCCACCGTAAGCACTGTCCCGCTTTGAGCCATTTGCGAACAGCGGGAGTGGGGTGAAGGTGCAGTAATTTGTTGATCTCTGCCAGCGTGTGTACATGACTTTCTTGATGGGGGTGTCAGACCTTCGGGGGTGTGCGGCGTTCCTTTGGTTTTCCGAGCCTCGCTGGAGGCCGCCGGCCTTCGGTTGGTGGTGGAGGGACGCCAGCGGGGTGAACTCCGACAGCTGGCCCTTGTAAAGTTTGTCAGCYTTCTGTGTGAGGGTAAAGGAATCAAAACAGGTGAGAAATGACTAAATTAGTATTTAGATGCTGCAGATGTCTGAGAGAGCAGGTGGATGTGACATTATTGTTTTAGCTGGCCAGAGTTCCAGCTGTGGATGAATCTTTATTTCTTTGGAAGAATTATGACCTAAATCAGTGTTGTATATGTGTTTATCTTCCACAGTTACTTCACCAAACGTCTAATGCTCAGATCCACAAGTCTATTTTTTAATGTAAATTTCTTCAGTCAAACTGGCCAGCTTTAAAAATATTTTCACATCCACATACACCAGAAAAAAAGCAAAGCTAAAATTAAAAAATTAAACCATGCAAACTCAAACATAAGCATGCAGGAACCACCAATCTGCTGCATAATGTTTCTGGAGCAATGATATGAACCACAAGATGGCGCCAAAMCTCCACGTTAGCCACCTGGCAGCAGGTGTTCCACACTTCACCTGGATATATTTATGTCATCCAGCTCACAAACAGATCGCGCTGGATGTCACAAAGATGGACAGCTTAAATAAGTGAAACCACACACCCCGGCAAAGTGCAATCCATCATCACACACCGAAGCAAGTAGTGCGTGTTTTTTTTTGTTTTGTTTTTTTTTTTACCATTTTGAAACCAGTCAGACTTCTGTGACAGCTACTCCGTCTAGTAACGAGTCTGAGCTCTGGAAAGTCAGGACCCTCTCAAACTTTTTCATCTCTCTCACATGCTGTGAACAAAAACACGTAAACACAAACATTGGGAGACAAAAACACGAAGGATTACAAGACTGTGGCACTGACAGCAAAGCTCCTGCAGCCTTAAATTAATGCAAAAAAACAACAACAAACAAATAAAGAACACGGTGCAGTGAGACAGGAGGAACGGCAGAGGGTCACCTCCTGAAGGGCTGGGTTAGAAACTCATTCTGCTGGAGGTCTGAGACAGCATAAAGATGGTGGAGGGCTCAGAGGCAAGGCATCGACGCTTAGTCTACCACAGAGGAGAACCACAGATGGAGGAGAAGCACAGAGAGGAGGAGGAGGAGGAACCAGGAGGCCGGAGGGAAGAGTGAAGAATAAAAGGGAAGAGTTACAAACCAGGAAGTTGGGGTTTAAAGATCAGTTTAACAGAACAGAAGCAGAAAGTTGTTCAGCTGACAGGTTGCATTATACAGCAAGTCTTCACAGTTTGAAATTGACAAATGAAGGTACAGTTAGTTTGGATTTTTTTAGGTGGGGTTCTGTGGAAAGGTTAAAAACAATATCTTAAATGTTGCGGACAGCTTTACAACCTCAGTTTGGAAAAATAGATTACACACTGCAGGTCTTATGACTCAGCTACAACTGTTTTTGCGTGGTTGTACACATAATTTGAATGTGATGCCATCAGACTCCAGTGTGAACACTCCACAGCCCTGAAGTGACATGTAAGGCTCTRTCAGAAGACAGTACCACTAAAMAGGCGAACAGGTTGACGCTCCCCCTGGCAYTTCAGAAGTCACAGTGTTCTTCAWACACGCTTTCAYAGAACTTTAATCAAAGAGGCGTGGACAAAAACATGGCTGCTCTGACACGCTGCTGTCACTCAAGTTGRTGCTGAGTCGCAGGATTCTTAACCCTTATTATATCGCAGAGAACAAATTCTGATCATGTACGTCTTTTAAAGGTTTAAMTTTCAAAATAAMCTGACTCTTYCGGTTGTATSCATGTGAAAGTTTAAATCTGGTGTTTTAATTTAAGAAACCCACATGCTTACAGTTGTAATCTGAATCTTTAGCTGCTGGATAATTTAAGCCYGTATTTGTTCCAATAAAGTTTATTTCCTTCTCTGCACATATATGAAGTGGAACTTGCTGTAAGAAAGATAAAAAGATTAAAGAGTTAAAAAGATTTTCAGCCGGACCAATCAGAGAACAGAACGTCAATTTTCTGCACAGTGTCTGCTTGTAGTTTATTTTACCTGGACCAATCAGAGAACAGAAGGCGGAGTTTTGAATGACGTCGATGTTCTGAGCAGTGTCTGCTAGTTATTTTAGTATACAGCAGTGGAGGAAGTGAATGAAGCCAGTCTGTGTTGATAAGACTTCCAAATTAAAATAAATTTGTCTGACAAAGCAGCAGCTCTCATTTACAGTCGTCTCGTTCGTCTCGATACTTTTCTCCTCTCAGTAGGGTTGTTTACAGCACACGCGATTTCCGGTTAGCTTCTTAGCTTAGCCTCCATCACAGCAACATACGTCGCAGCCAACTGATTTAATCATTTTAAACTCAGACTCATCTTGGTCTGTTTAGAACCAACGGATCTCAGGGTTCCACAAACCTGGGTGGAACTGGGTCATAAGGGCTAATGCAAACATGCTGAACCCAGGT